CAGCAGCTCTGTGCGGAAGAGGTTTTTCCGGGAGGCGCTGCTGCAGGTCACCATCCCGTTCCTGCTAAAGAAGCTGGCCCCCACCTGCAAGTCGGTGAGCGCACCCCCACCCCACCTGCCCCCGCCCACCCGCTGTAGCCTCTTAGGCCCTGGGGGGGGGGGTCCCACAGAGCCTTTCTGCTCCCCCAGTCCTGACCTCCCATCTCTGCCCGCCCTGCCTGGGCAGGAGCTGCCCCGGTTCCAGGAACTGATCTTCGAGGACTTCGCCAGGTTCATCCTGGTGGAGAACACGTACGAGGAGGTGGTGCTGCAGACCGTCATGAAAGACATCCTGCAGGGTGAGCGCTGGCCTCGCCTCTCGGGGGCTGCTGCAGAGTTGGGGGTGGCAGTCACTCCCACTGCTGCTGCCATGGGGACTGTTATTGCCAGGTGGAGGATGAGGTGTCAGCCAAGAAGGATTTTTGATGGTGTCAGCTAAGGGACAAAGAAAAGCCCGAGACCTATGCCTGGGGGCTGGGTTGAGCCCACTCTGAGCTGTGTGACCCCAGGATGGTAGTGCCATGTCTCTGTGCCTTAGTTTCTTCTTGGGTCCTTGGCTGCTGGGAGGATTGCACGAGTGACTGGATGACTCAGTGGTCACCAGCTTGGGCTCTGGGCTAGGGTCACAGCTCTGCTTCTTCCAGCAGTTAGTTTGGGAATGAGTCACTTCCACATAACAGATGGCTCACAGGGGGATGAGATGGGTCCCATTTGGGCAGAGAGTCCCCATGCTGAGCGTCCTGATGCTTCCCCCTGTGCCCCACAGCTGTGAAGGAGGCCGCAGTGCAGAGGAAGCACAACCTGTACCGGGACAGCATGGTCATGCACAACAGCGACCCCAACCTGCACCTGCTGGCCGAGGGCGTACCCATTGATTGGGGCGAGGAGTATGGTGACAGTGGTGGCAGCCCCAGTCCTGGTGCCCCAGAAGGAGCCACCCTCTCGGAAAAGCGGCGGCGCGCCAAGCAGGTGGTCTCCGTGGTCCAGGACGAGGAGGCAGGGCTGCCCTTCGAGGCTGGCCCTGAGCCACCGTCACCAGCGTCCCCGGACAGTGTCACTGAGCTCTGTGGTCTGCTAGCCCAGGATCTGCGGGCTGAGAGCCCCCCGCCGGCTGGCCTCCTGCTTAATGGGGCCCCCGCCCAGGAGAGTCCCCAGCCGGTGGCAGCCCCCGAGGCCTCGCCGCCTTCCTCACCCCTTCGGCATCTCCCACCTGGGAAGGCTGTGGACCTGGAGCCCCCCAAGCCCAGCGACCAGGAGACCGGGGAGCAGGTGTCCAGCCCCAGCGGTCGCCCCCCCATCCACACCACCACCGAGGACAGCGCGGGGGTGCAGACGGAGTTCTAGGGCGGTCGGCCCTGCTTCTGTTGGACACGGCACACGGCAGCTCCCCCTGAGGCACTGATGGGCTTGGAGGAGGGAAACCCCGTCTGTGCCTCGGGGGTGGAGGTGGGCAGGGGCTGGCGTGCGCCTCCAGGGACCGGGCAGGGACGGGTCCACCTGTCACTTTACTGGTTCAGTCAACCGTTTATTGCTCCCTGTTTTCTCTTCTGCGGGATGATCTAGGACGCAGGGTCTGGTTTCGGGGTTTCCTCCTTGTGCTGGGGGCTGGACAAGGCTGAAGGGGGCAAGGGGACCCCCCCTCCCGCCCTTCTGTGGCCTCTTTCCCTCATGGCTCTTGCTGAGAGGGAGGTGAAAGCGTCGCGCGCTGTGACGTGAGGCCCGTGGACCCCTCCTGTCTCGCCTGGGGACCAGCAAGTGGAGGCAGATGGGCGCCGAGGGCCCTCCCTGTCCCGCTTCCTCCGTGCTCCCCCCAGCTGGGCCCCAAAGGCCAGCTTTGGCACGGACGCTGCCCCGCTTTCCCATTTGGGTGAGGGGAGGTGGGGGGTCTTCAGGCTGGAGCCTGGCTGGGGGATGCTGGGTGACGGAGGGGGCGGCGACGGGCCTGGGAATGGCATGAGAAAGGCCCGGAATGTGCTGGTCTGAGGAGGGGACGTGTCCGAGGGAAGGAAGGCACCCCCTGTCTGGGGGAGGCGTGTGGGTGGACGTGGGAGCGTGAGGCCGGGACGGTGGACTGAGGGTTGCTGGAAGCCGAGCGTGGGGCCTCTGCCCCTCATCTGTCCCTTCAGCCCCAGCCTGTCTCCTTCCTGTTGCCTGGGACCACAGGTCTCTGGGATTGCCTCTGTCCCTCCTGTGCCTACACTCACGCTCTGGGCTGGCGCAGGAGGGAGGGTGGCACGTGGCTTAGCGGGTGCGGACTGTCTTCTCTGGTCACCTTCAAGGTACTCACCACCTGCCCAGGGAGTGGGATGCGGCTCCTGAGGGGCAGAGTGAGGGGCCATGGCTCCCCCAGACACCGTATGTGGCCCTGAGGATTTGGGGTCAGGCTACACTTGGCCTGTGCTGCCTGAGCCACCAAGTCACCTCCCCTGAAAACTCCAGGCGCCTCTTCAAACATCCTTGTGAGTCGCTTTGGGCCTGTCATCCTTCCTCAGCTTCTCGTTCCTGGGGTTGAGGGTCAAGCCAAGGTGGCCCCCACCCACAGCCTCCCCAGACCCCCTCCCCTGCTGCTTTGAGGGGAGGGAGGGCAGGGTAGAAATGGACTAATTCAAGGTCCCCAGGGTGCGCCCCCTGCATTCTCCATCCCCTAGAACAGCTCCCCAGAGCAGGGGCTTACACCCACAGGACATTTGGCTGGTGCTCAGGGACCTTGCTCCCCCAGCCCTCGAATCACTAACCTTTTCTGCGACACTTTCCGCCTTAAGATGCTCTCCTCTCGTGCCTTGTGGGGTTCTCCAATCATCCTTCCCAGATATTGTATTGAAAATATCACGCAAACTGTTTAAGCTTGTACTAATCAATAAATGCTTTATTTAAAACCAGTTTACTTGTGATGCTGGGGGGAAGGGCCACAGGGATCCCCAGGCTAGGGACTGTGTCTAGGAGCCCGCATACACCTCGGCTTTCTGGGCTCATCACTTGAGCAGTACCTCTAGGTCCATGGTCTGCGTTCTTATATTATCCCATTTCACAGAGGAGGAAAGTGAGGCTCAGAGAGCAGGGCCTCCTCACCCAGCCCTGTGCCTGGCTCCTCGTCCAAGGGGACGGCAGCAGCTTCAAGGCCAGTCAGGGCCCTGGGGCATCCACAATGGGGTGGGCTCGGCACAGTGACGCCAGCTCTGTCAAGGCTCCTACCACACGCCACGCACTGAGCACGTGCTGTGGGCCGTGTGCTTCACGTGCGCGGCCAGCAGCTTCACGGCAGCTCTGGGGGGGGTGCTGTCACCACCGTCATTTCACCAGGGTGTAAACTGAGGCCCAGGAAGGTGGGAAACCCTGGCTGAGGTTATGTGGCACCTCCGCATATGTGGGTTTCCTTGTCTACAGGTACAAGCATGTCCCTGTTTGGTGGGGGGCAACAGCCAGTCACCCTGGAGGTTGTTGGCTTCCCTGGTGCCAGCCTCCATGGGGCCTAGGGTTTGGGCCTGATCGTCTATTGACAAGGGCCGAGATGCCACACACGGCTGTGAGAGAGGCCAGGGATTCAGCTGTCCCTTGGCCAGTTACTGGCTCTGAGCCTCAAGCTCCTCAAGGTCTGGGAGTCAGATGGTCCCTGGGCCTCATGAGGATTCAAGGAGACATAAAACGCTGCGCTCTGCAAAGCCACCCTGCCTGCCTCAGGCCTCAGTCTCCCTTCTTGGCCAAACTGAGCCCAGGAGGGTATGGGGGGAGGGGGAGAAAACCATCACAGGTCCCCAGGGTGAAGACATAGGAAGAGGCACCCAGCTCCTGCCCTGGCAAGCAGGACTCTACAAAGGGCATTCACCCTGTCCCTCTCAGCACTACAGGACTGATGGTCCCAATGAGATAGGAAAACTGAGACCCGGGGAGGCAGGGCTCCTGGCAGTGCCATCCAGCTGGCTCGTGTGGATGCTGCACATGGGGTGAGCACTCAGCGCCCCCTGGTGGCCACCAGCCTAAGTCAGGGCCCCGTGTCCCCTATTGAATGAATGGGGAAACTGAGGTCCAAAGGCTGGCCAGGGTCACTGAGTGGCTGGAGGCAGAGCCCAGGTGCCCTGAGAAAGCCTGTCACTAGCCCAAAGAAAAGGCTGCCCATGGCTCAAAACCACTTGCCAGAAAATGTGCAATAAACGTGTACCTCCATGGGGAGTACAGTGCCTGGCTCCTGGAACTGCGCAGTCAACACTTGCACAGCTGCTCGGTCCGGGAGTCAGGATGCTTCCGACCATGCACAGGTCAAACCTAGCACCACCGTGTCCCGTAGCAAGGCCCCGGGCACTTGCCCCCTCAGCCTCAGCTGCACCATCTGTGATAATGACAATGCACAGCCCGGGCTCCTAGAGGAACAGCCTGCTCTCTGGCTGCCCCTTGGTGCCCTTCTCTCTGGCCCTGGCCTCTCCACCTGCCAAGAGGGGAGCGTTGGATAACTTTACATTCAAGAATGGCTCTATCTGCTCTCTCCTCTTGACGGAGGTACAGCACGCTGCTGGCCCTTTCCCCAGAAGAGCTGCACTCCCCCCTACCCCCAGTCCCAGGCCTTGTCCCCTCCCTTCCTCTTCCCAGGCTCCCCTGAGGACCCAGTGACGACTCAGGGAAGGAGCACGCTGCAGACGGGTTTATTGACATTCCTGCTTTGGGTCCAGCTGCGTGGGGTGAGGCGGTGCAGATGTGGAGCAGGAGGGGCCCAGAGTGCCAGGGAGCAGCAGAGAGCGGGGCCAGGGAGGCTGGCACTGCTTGTGGGCACAGTCTGCACTTCCAAGCCCACGACAGCTTGTGTCCCCTACACACCAGCTCCGCCCGTGGCCTCCTCTCACCCTCGGCCAGTCTTGCCCACCACCCCGCCGAGGGGGAGGGCACTGTGTGTGTTCTCACACGAGGACGCCATGCTCCTGGAGGGCAGTGATCTGCCCACAGTCAAATAGCTAGGAAGCAGGAGAACCATGACTTGGCCAGGACGCTCATCCCTGCCTGAGCTCTGGTGGTGGCATAGCCACCTCTCCATACCCCAGATTGTGTCGCCAGGCCACAAAGGACCCCAGCACCAGCAGAGGCACCCCCTCTCTCGTCCACAGTATTCAGAGCAGCTAGGTCATGGATCAGGACACCCCCCCACCTGGGCCAGAAGTGCTTGGAGATCAAGGTGGGGTGGGGGCGGGGGCTCCCAGGCTGGGAGGAAAGGGCCCAGGATGGACGGCCTCGTACTAGTCTGGCTAGAGTGGGGGTGAGCGGGAGCCCCGGGCTGCAGTGTGGAGGCAGGGCCAGAGGGGCGGCCCTGGCGGGCGGGCGGGCTGCGCTCAGCTGCTGTGGTAGATGCGGAGGCGCTGGGCGATCTCCTGGCGGCACAGTGGGCAGGTGCGCAGTGGCTGGCAGCACTGCTGGCAGCAGCAGACGTGGCCACAGTTGAGGAAGATCATCTGGGCCTGAGGGGAGAGAGCACAAACATGTGGGCCCGGCCCCGCCTGCGTCCCCAGGGAGGAGCTGCTGAGTCCCTGTCCCTGGGCCATTGATTGCTCTTTTCCTTAAAAATCTGACCGCATGGGCACCCTGAACCGTTCAAACATCACAGAAATATGTACCATAGAAAGGCAAAACCTAGTCCTCCTGTTAGCAGTCGAATGTCTACTTCCCTATATTTGGTAAAAAATATATAAATACCCATACCCTCCCCACCCTTCCTTTCTTTTCTTTTTTTAAAAAAAGATGACCGGTAAGGGGATCTTAACCCTTGACTTGGTGTCGTCAGCACCACGCTCTCCCAAGTGAGCCACGGGCCGGCCCTCCAACTCTTCCTTTCTTAAATAAAACTGGGGTTATACAGGATGAGTGTTCCTTACCCGAAATGCTTGAACTGTTTTGGATTTCAGATTTTTGGGGATTTTGGAATATCTGCATTATACATACTGGTTGAGCATCCCAAATCTGAAAATCTGAGATCCGAAATGGAAGCATTTTGGATTTGGGATTTTCAGATTTGGGATGCTCCGATGTGTTCTATGTATGTTTGACTGCTTGCTTTCTTTGCCTCACCACCTCTCTTGGACGCTGGCCGCGTCCTCTCTGTGTCCCAGCTGTGCAGTGTCTCGCTGTACAGGAGGAGCACAGTTTACTGAACCAGCCCCACCGCTGGACACTTTTTAGTTTACAGTCTTTTGCCGTTTATGCGCCTCCCAGCCCTGAACTCCTCAGTCTAAAAACCACTCCAACCTTTGGATCAACAGCCATGGAAGTGTGCCTGTGCACTGTTTTCACAGTTCCTCTTTTTAGGGATTTGTCCTAAGCACAAGGATATGCTCCAAACCCTGCTCAAAGCTGTCTGTAATATCCAGCGACCAGGAGCCACCTGCAGGGCCCAACTTAATTTATAACTGACCGGTCCCTGGGTATCACGGCACCCCTGGGTCTGCTAAAGTCCAGGGAATAACTGAAGTGCACGCATGGCTGCTTTTCTAAGTAGGATCGCATGGTGAAGGCAAGAGAGGACTGTTATTTTATACACTAATGTTTAATCTTTACAGTAAATGTTAATTCTGCAATAACTTTTTTTTTTTTTTTTTAAAGATGACCGGTAAGGGGATCTCAACCCTTGGCTTGGTGTTGTCAGCACCACGCTCAGCCAGTGAGCAAACCGGCCATCCCTATATAGGATCCGAACCCGTGGCCTTGGTGTTATCAGCACCCTGCCTTCAGCAGGAATCTGTCGAGCTGGATTTAGCCAGAATCCTCCCTTATCCCAATGTTTTGTGTTAGTAATTTTCCATCTACTGATCCCCACACTATTTGTTGGCTGTAAAACCCCACTTGTCTTTGTATTCTAAGTACCTCTCTCTCCTACCTATTGCAAAACCCTCATTGAATAAAGGATTCATTACCATCTTTAACAAGTGTCATCATTAATTTTTTCTTTAACACTGCACAAAGGAGAAATGGGCTAGAGGAGATACTCCCTAATGTATTTATTAAGTATAAAAAACACCACAAACCTTCTTTTGAAAAAAGAAAAAAGGTCCAGAAGATGATGTTAGCATTGCTCATATGTGGGTCATAGGATCATGGTCATTTTCATTTCCTGTATTTTTTGCTATTCTATATTTTCCAAAATGCCTAATGAACACAATATACTCATATAACTAGAGAAAAACGTTTTGAAACAACTCCCATGCCTGCAAAGGCTGAGGGTGGCCGCAGAGAGGGGCAGGCTGGTGGGGAGGGTGGGGTTGGGGGTCGGGCCCCATACCCCATCTGGTCCTGCCACTGCAGACTCACCTCCCGTTCCAGGCACACGACACATTCTGAGGCCTGTGCCTCCAGCTCTGCAGGGGGAGCTGATGGCCTCACTGACTCAGGAGGCTCCTGGGGGGCTGTGGGGGGCTCCAGGGCTCTGAGGACCTCACTCTTGGGTGGTTTCAGCTCTGTGGGGACCAGAGAGACAGGCCAGGGTCATCCCCTGATGATCCCAACCCCTAGGGCTCCCCTGGCCCTGCCTGCCCCCAAGTGAGTGGGTGTAGGGAGGGGCGCTCTGACCTCAGAGCTGGGACATAGGCTCCCCCTCCCACACGCCCTCTTAGTTCCCCTCTCTGAGCCTTATCCCCCTTCTGTAAGGACCTCAGAGCCGGGACATAGGCTCCCCCTCCCACACGCCCTCTTAGTTCCCCTCTCTGAGCCTTATCCCCCTTCTGTAAGGACCTCAGAGCCGGGACATAGGCTCCCCCTCCCACACGCCCTCTTAGTTCCCCTCTCTGAGCCTCATCCCCCTTCTGTAAGATGGGAGTGAAACCTTTCTCTGCAGGGCTATCTCACCACCCTGGCAGGGCGGCTGCAGCGCTTGTGCATTGGGGCCTCTTACCCCTAAGATCTGCTGGACCCTCCATGGCCACCCTGCAAGTAGTAGGGCTTGTCACTTTCAGAGATGAGAAATCCGAGGCTTAGAGAGGGGAAGTCACTTGCCCAGGGCCACATGGCCATCTGGTGGTGGAGCCACAGCACAGGAGCCCTGGTTAGGGGCTCTGGGGTAGGGTGGGCTGGGACGCCCTGGAGACAGGCTGGCCGCTGTCCATCAGGTTACCCCAGGGAGAGGGAGCAGGATGAGCCCCAAGCTGCTTCTCTCCCTCGCATCCCCGGCAAGCCTGGTGCTCCACCCTGCAGCCAGTGTCCCCTGCCTGGGTCCCAGCCAGCCCTGAAGCAGGACTTCAAAAAACGCAGTCTCTCTTTATATCATCACGCAGGGGACACCACCGACTTCCTACCCTTTCCCCGTTTCTGGCCCCCATCCCAATCATGGTTCGCTTTGTTTATATATCCTACACTTTGAATTACAAGTATCATTTTTTTATAATAGGAAAAAACCTGAAGATTTTTTCCAGGCTGTTACACCACCACCAGACCCTCTAAGGGCATCAGTGCTGCCCCCAAAATGCCACTGTAAAGGGCTCTTCTGCATTTGACATAAGGCACTTCACATGGACTCCTGGGAACAAGACGGCTGCCAGGAAACCACCTGAGGCTTTCCCAGCCCGTGCAGCTGAGGAGGGGCGAGGGGCATCCACCACCGCTGCTCCCCTGCCAGTCAGCACAAGCAGGAAGCCCCAAGCGGCCGAGGCACCTGCCCTCTACTCATGGACCAGGGCCCACGTGGACATGCCACAATGGACAGGAAGAGCCTGCTTGTTAGCGCCAGGGATGACTGGAGACTGCGAGAAGCCATGACCCTGACTCTTGAGGGGCTCTGAGGCACCAGCACCCCGCTCAGAGAGAAGGGGCACCTGCAACTCCTGCTCTCAGAGGTTTGTCTGTACTCATGGACCAGGGCCCACGTGGACATGCCACAATGGACAGGAAGAGCCTGCTTGTTAGTGCCAGGGATGACTGGAGACTGCGAGAAGCCATGACCCTGACTCTTGAGGGGCTCTGAAGCACCAGCACCCCGCTCAGAGAGAAGGGGCACCTGCAACTCCTGCTCTCAGAGGTTTGTCTGCCACTTCTGATGCCAAACTCAGCCTGACGTGCAGTCTAGAGCTGAAGGGTCAGAGCTGGGGGAACATCAAGAAGGGGCCTATTTTGCATATGACTTGACATTAAAAAACTAGAAGTTTAATGACATTTTTTTAGGTGGAGTCTACGTCCCTGGAGGAAATGAGCCCGCAGACACCGTGGCGCTACGATCAGCCCAGACCTGGGCCAGCAGCAGCCTGAACTCCTGCCTCACCCCTGAGCTCTGCCCCGTCTCCTTTCCTGGGCCCTGACCCCAAAATACCCAGCCCAGCTGCCCAAGCCTGCCCTCTCTGCCGTCCCTGTTTTGGCCCCTCGCCTCTTCTCCAGGAAGGCAGTAAAGCCCAGTGGCTCACCATCCACCGGTAGTGTGACGATATGGGAGACATGTTAACCGCCCTCGGCCTCAGTTTCCTCACCTCTCCAATGAGGATAACAACAGCGCCCATTCACAGGGTTGAACCCAAGGTCCCATCACATGGCACGTGTGAACTGGTGGCAAATGCCTGGCTTCTGGATCTTGCTTGTACACAGTAGACCCCTGACCACACGCCTGCCCACCTCGGCCACCCAGCTGACTTCCTGAGGGTCTTCATGACCAGCTTTTATCCCTTCACAACTTGTCATGAACATCTCCCTGCATCCAACCAGGCATAGTGTCAGGCATGCACTGGGCACACCAAGGACCTGGGTGTGCAGATCCCCGAGTCTGTAGAGTGGGTTATGGGAAAGTTATGGGACAGGGAGCCAGGAGGGCCCCTCCACTGCTCCATGGAGACTTCCCCATTTTTCCATGGTTATGGCCTGTTTTTCCCATTCATAAAATGGGCTCACTCATCCCTAATCTTGGAGGGGTCCTTACGGACAGGCAGGGGCTAGAAGCAGCTCCCAGCACACGTCCTGAAATGTAAGCAAGTGAGCGCCCCTCTGCAGCCCACGCATCGCTCAGGGCCTGTGCTTAGAAGGGGTCCTGGGGTCACGCCAGTACCTGGTTGCATCCTGGCCACATCCAGCAGTTCCCGGACTCGCCGCAGGATCTGTTGCTGCAGGCCAGTCTCCGAGACGCCCACCTGTGGCAGTCCAAGCAAGAGCAGACTGTGGCCTGGGCTGGGTGGGGACCCGCTGCACAGCATGGAGCCACCACACATGAGCAGGCCCAGGCCCCCAGGACCACCTTGTCCCTGGCTTGTAGACCCCAGCGTCTGCATGTGGCAGCACAGTGCCACAGCTGTGAGGGTGACCTCCTCAGGCCCGGCCCAACAATCGGTGTGGCAGGGTGAGAAACAGAGGTCCCAAAGGAAATCAACACTAGTCACGGCTACTAGCGAGTACGGTACCATGTCAACAGTGTCACCTACACAACCTCATGTCACTCCTACCAGACTGCCATCGAGGCCAACCCGCTGAGACGCAGCAGTGCCTGAGTCACACAGTCCCTCGGTCTCAGAGCCCAAGCTCACAGCCCCAGGAGCCTCAGCGTCTGCGTCTGTCCAGGGGAGAGGCAGGACAGCAGAGTGGCAGAGAGCACGGACTGAGGCCAGAACACCAGGGTCGAGTCCTAGTTCTGCTGGGTGACCCTGGGCAAGTTAGTGCCTTGCTGGGTCTCAGTTTCCTCATCTGGAAAATGGCAATAATGGTGATGCCCCTCCCTGGGCTGTCGGGAGGATTCAGGGAGCTAGAGTATGAAAGTGCTGAGAGCAGTGCCCAGCACTTGCGGGGGGTGCAAAGGTGCCACTGTCACCACTGCTATTCTGTGCTGAGTAGGAAATGGATTAATGTGACGAAAAGAGTTCAGCTCGTGCCCCAAGCGTAGCCAGGGCTCAGGCAGTGCCATGATTATGACTGTAAAGCCATGGGGCAGGGTGGGGGTTGGACAGACGATCCTCAAGGCCCTGTCTTGACCTTGCAGATTGGATCTGAGCAAGTGGGGCTGTCTAGGGTCAGCAGGACCCACATTCCTGAACTTTCTTCGCCAGATGACGAGCAGGACACACACAGGTGGTTGGGGGCAGATGGGGCGGGCGTCCTGGCCATCTGGAAGCAAGGTGGCCCTGGGCCATTTGATAATGACACACCTCACCACGAGCTGCATCAAGAGCAAGTCAGCCGTTGGCCGGGTTGGGCTGCGGCTTCTCTGCCTCCCGAGCCTCCCCCAGGGCTGCTGCCTCCCACCTGGGCCAGGTCCCTGGGGCTCATCCTGCTCAGCATGTCCAGTGAGATGCGGTGATGCGCGAAGATGGGCAGGTAGTGCTCGGCCGACAGCTCCACCAGGAGGGCCACCAGCTGGCGCTCCATGCCTTCTTCCTGCAGGACACACCCCGAGAAAGGCCAGCGACCATGAGCGGGAAGGAAAAAAAAAAAAGCCAGCAGAAAACAGAGAGCTCGACTATATGTAATGTAATATACAGAATGCACTCGAGATTTTTCTACAAGAACGCACACGTAAGTGCATAGGGATACATGCCCAAGGGAGCTCACTGCCACCCAAACTGCAGACTTGAAAACAGTCAGCCACTGCAATATCCACTAAGGGTGGCTGTTCAACTACTCTAGGGGTCACCCACACACTGACCACTAGGCAGGTGCCTGCAAACAATACGCATGGACCTGGAGAACTGTCCATCACTATATTATTTTTCTTCTTTTTGTTTTTATTTTTTATTTTAAAAATTATTTTGTTTATTTATTTTCTTGTCTGTCACTATTGTTAAGAGCAAGTTACCAAAATGGTATGCACAGAATGACTCAATTTTTTTCTTTTTTTTTTTTGGGGGGGGGTGGCTGGCCAGTACAGGATCTGAACCAGTGACCTTGGTATTATAAGGCTGTGTTCCAACCAACTGATAGAACTGGCCAGCCCAAATGACTCAATTTTTAAAAAGATAAAGTTTGTGGGGTGGGGGTGGGAACCGCGTCTACCCTGCCCCCACAGGTGCTCCACGGACAGGTGCTTCACGGACAGCTGCTCTCGCCCACCCGCACAGGTGTGGCCCCATCGCGGGCTCACTGGCATCTGCCCCCCACGACAGTGACCAGTGCCCTGTCTGTGCCCTCACCACAGTCTCATTTCTGTCCCTGCCAGGGCCTGACATGGGCCTGGCACACCTGAGTCCCTAGGAAGATGAACTGAATCACACTGGGGAGGACGAGCAGCTGGCATGGCTGAGGCAACAGGGCGTCTCTGGAAGAGGCCCCACGGGCCCCTCGGCCGGGGCAGGCTCCAGCCGTCCTTACCTGCAGCTTCAAGGACAAGGGCTTCTGGTTCAAAAGCCGCTGATACTGAATCAACCAGTAATTTTCCTGCTTGGTTTCGCTTTTAGCTTCTAACTCCATCTGCCAAGAATGGAACAGACAGTGCTAGTTACAGATCAGTGAATTAAAAGTGTGTGACGGTGATGACAGTGAACTATGCTCCTCCGACCAGGTAGGTGGCACTTGGCATTTTACAAAGAACTCTCCCACCCACTGTCTCACTGTTTAAACTACTGAAACGAGACACGGAGGAAGAATCACTGTCACCATTTCACTGGTGAAAATGATCTCGGAGAAGGTAGCTGACCCGTGGACGCTGCACTCCCAGGCAGGGGCTTATCTGACCCTGGCCTTCTGCCACCTGACCCTACACTCTGCCACTGCCTCTGGAGGGACACCCTCTTGTCTGCTCGTGGGAGAGCAAAGCATCTTGCAGCCGTCTGTCTCCTTCTCACACAGAGCTCAGGCTGCCTGCCTCCTGGGTGCCGGGCAGGGGAGACGCGCAGTTCTAAGGACGCGTAGAGGAGTGTTGTGTGTGTGTGTGTGTGGCCGGTACAGGGATCCACCCCCCGTGTCATCAGCACCCCACTCTAATCAACTGAGCCAACTGGTCAGCCTGAGGGGGTATTTTTTTTTTTTTTTTAAAGATGACCGGTAAGGGGATCTTAACCCTTGACTTGGTGTTGTCAGCACCATGCTCAGCCAGTGAGCGAACCGGCCATCCCTATATGGGATCCGAACCCGGGCCCTTGGTGTTATCAGCACCGCACTCTCCCGAGTGAGCCACAGGCCGGCCCCTGAGGGGGTATACATAGAGGAGTGTTGTGTGTGTGTGTGTGTGTGGCCGGTACAGGGATCCACCCCCCGTGTCATCAGCACCCCACTCTAATCAACTGAGCCAACTGGTCAGCCTGAGGGGGTATTTTTTTTTTTTTTTAAA